TCAATTCCCAATCATTATTATCTGGAGAATTTTAGGTACCTATGGGTACTCCACTACCCATATGCTACGATATTCCACGGAAACCTTAATACTGCAGGAGACAATTTGAATAGTTTATTACAGAGACAGCATTAGATTTAAGTGGACTTTCTGGTTGTATGTCAGAGATAATGTAAAAGTACTCTTACAGTTGTGAAGATCATTACAAACTTAAGTTGTTATAATCCAATCTTTCCAAGGGAGAAAATGAAAAGAACAGAGATGGGAAGAAAAGATTAAGACTTTTAGTTTTATAACTCTTCTCCTGAACTAATTAAAAAATCTGTACTTGATGCTGTTTACCCCCATCCTTTATTAAGCACAAACATCCTTAACTCTTAATCTTTTTGCACTAAAAAGCAATTTCCCTTATCTGCTGAAGTATCAGAGGTGATTTAATTATTTGAAAATCCAAAAACAATGCACTGCATTACCATTTAACTAAGGGGTATGTGGAGTGAGAGAATTGAAATATAGAAATAAAAATATGCAAAATGATCATTCTAACTAAAAGCATAATCCTTAACTCTCATGCAGGCAAACAAATTGAAGAGAAAAGTGAACATTAACCATATTACTCAGCATGTACTGAACAACACAAAAAGAACTTAGATGTTCTGGAAAAAGTATAAATATATAGTCTTTTCCTTTCCTTTTTGTGTTTATAGTTGTACTTCGTGATTTACAAAGTACTTAAGACACATTATCTTCCTTGAGCTATGAAGCCACCTGTGGAGCAGGTAGACATTATCCACATTTTCCAAAGAAAACTAGGTTTTAAGGACATTGGCTATTTTGCTCAAAATTAAAAGACCTGTTATAAGATTCAATTGTAAACACATCTTTATGGCTTCCAGTATCACTACATTAGCAGGTATGCCTTTTTTAATTTTGGTGGTAGGGAGCTGGGAGAAGTAGCAGAATTGCTTTTATAAATTAAATCTCATATTGAACTTAAATTATGAAGCATATAAATATACAAAAAAATTGATACATATTTTAGTTATAAAGTAACAATTACTGATAACAGTATTTATATTCTCACAGAAATTTAACATGAGCAGATATGTACAGGAATTTTTTTTTTAAAGGCCAATGCCTTCATAATTAATGAGAATCTTTCCTGTAGATAACAGCAACAAAAAAGTTTAAATATATGAACAAAGATAATAGAACAAGTTTAATTTAAAGGCCTGCATAAGAATAATCTTGTAACAAAAGATAACTGTGGTATGCTCCAATGTGGTGGATTATGTATATATGTTACAAGCAGCTGTATTCTTAAATTTTTAAAATAATTTAAAAGATACTTAAGGGCTGGGGATATGGCTCAAGCGGTAGCGCGCTGGCCTGGCATGCGTGCGGCCCAGGTTCAATTCTCAGCACCACATACAAACAAAGATGTTGTGTCCTCCAAAAAATAAAAAATAAATATTAAAAAAACTCTCTCTCTCTCTCTCTCTCTCACTCTTTCTTTAAAAAAAAAAAAAGATACTTAAAATTTCAATCCAATTTAAGTATTTTAAAATCCTGAAGCATCTTATAAAGTAGTCTGAAAACCACTGCATAAAACTTTGCTGTCATAAATTCATTGTTTGATTTCTTCTTAGGTTATTTAAGATAAAAATCAAGTAAAAAACTGCTTTTGACAATCAAAACTGTATAACCCAAGAAACCTGATTAACCAAAGCAGAATAAATTACTAGTCCATAGTATAAGTAAACCCATTCTATTGGTTGAAATACATAAAATTATTAATATTTAATAAACTTCCTAATCTAAATTTTTCAAATTTGACAGTATCTATGCTTACAAAACATTAAAGTGTTGTCAAAATTTGTGATTTTATAAAGAAAATTAAAAAGCATAATAATCACACAAAGATATATCACTAGAACTCCTACACATACCAACAAATTTTAAATGTTAGAGTAATAATAAGAGTTCAATACTCAAAATACATTTTGAGTTGTAATATACCAACTTTTCTTTACTCGAAGATGACTGGACTGACAATTACCTACCTTCCTTAGTTTCACATTTCACTTTTCAAATTAAAGGATCAGATTCATCTCAGTGTCACTGGAATTTCTTCAAGTAAAATATGTCACATTTCAAAACTTGTTAACCTTACAAAGTAAATAGAAGAATTTCCTGTTTCATTAAAAACTTTATTATACTATGTGACAATGGAGTAAGTTAGACTTAATAGGAGTTTTGAATATGATGATAGTTTGTTCATTTTTTCCTAGAGATAAGTTAGTACCTAAGTTATAAATTTGGTACATTTAATATTTAAGAAGATACTGAATCAAATTTGTAAGGACACGTCTATGAATAAATATGATTCTCATCCAATATAAAATTGAATATTCAAGTACTGGATTAAAACAAATAGGTTTACTTGATTGTGAATTCAGTTCTTTTTAAAGTTTCTCCCAAATTAAACATATTGCCACAAATTTTTGTCATATAAAAAGGTGACCTTTCCCTCATTATTAATGAGGGTTTATAACAGCAAAGTATAATTTCCACTAGATACACATGATTTTCATTCTTCCATTGTAAGCTACACTGAACTAAAATTAAAAGTGCTATGATCCATTTGTTTATTAGTGTACAGTCCATTAGTGGAAAACACAAGATAAACTCACAGAATCACATTTTTTTGAAAGTGATAGATGAATTTTACTTACATTCTATCAAAAAGAAAAATATGCCCTTATTAGAAAAAAACCCTTACATGCTATTTTTAGAAGGATGAAAAATTTAAATTGCTAGACACTGATTTAAGAGTACTTAAGAAGGGCAATCTTAAAAAGCTACAAATGTTGCCAAGTCATGTCATAACTGGCACAAACAATTCTATTTCCATCTAAATTCATTTCATGCTACTACATGAATCAACATTAAATACCTTGTAGTTACTAAAAACTGGAGTATTGGCAGAGATGTGCATAGCAATTATAAAATATAAAAATGTTCACATCCATTTTCCATATTTTCTCAATAATGTCTAAAAATGAAGATGTTCTTTCTAGGTAAACAAATACTAGTTTTTAACAAACTAAGAGAAATAAATAAAGATGTTTTAACTAGTAAAATGCCATGGAGCCATAGCCACAGTTTTCTCAAAAGAAAAATAAAATAGTTTGAAGCCCAATATCACCTTCAAAGCTTTTGTTAGCCTAATAAATTGCCATAGGCATTAAAAAATCTTTTTTCAGTCAATAACAGTACATCTTTTTCTTATTTGATTAAAAAAAACTTGCTGTCATTTTAACTAAGCTTAAGTTTAATCAAAATATGTCTTAAAGACATATTTTTTATGTCAAAGACAACCTTTCACTTTTAAAGTAAGGGAATAATATTTTTTAAGAACTAAATTCAGATGACAACTGGCCCTGCAGTGAAAGAGTTAACATTCAACTAACCTGATCTGCACTTCTGATCCATTACATTTCTCACAAGCTGCCCTACAATGAGCTGAGCAAGTATCAACTGTAATTTGATCCCGAAGTTTATGGAAAAAAATAACTGCACATACTCAACATGCACATTTAATAAAAATCTGTTTCAAGAGAAACATATCCAATAAACACAATTTAAGGCATATTTAATTCTTTGATTAACTTCAAATCTGCAATCTCTTTGCTTTCCTCAAGCTCTCAAATAAAATAGGAGGGAAAAAAAAAAAAAAAAGCAGCAGCCCTACTGCAGGGAAAAGAGGCTTGAAAAACAACTTTGATTGGCACTTGGCCTGACCCACAGAGGAAGAAAAACAGTTTTTGGACAAAGAGCGCAAATATTTGAGCTTGCTTACTTATGTGCTTTCTTGCTTTCTTTCTTTCATATATAAAGAACAATCCCAAAGCGACTGTATATAGAGAAATTGTGTGTGTGTGTGTGTGTGTGTGTGTGTGTGTGTGGCAGGGGGGAAGGGTACCATATTCATTTTAGCTCTCAGACCCGGTGCATTTGCACAGCTCAGCAATTTTAATTCATTTGTACTGGACAAACAGAAACATCTCATCTAAGGTTTCTACTTAATGCAATGCAAAAAATAAGAGTTTGGAGAAGAATAAACTGATTATAATATTACTCGTGGAGGCAGTTAAAATCTAATTTTAAAACTCTTTTCATCTCCTTCTTCCATCTTATCCTCCCCATCCCCCACGGAGTGATTAAGCCAAGTAAGCTAAACAATACTGGAGTAAACTTTCTATCAGTCCCTATGGGAAGCATTAAGCTGATGGTGCGTCTGATTTTTCTGGATCAACACGGGGTGGGGGTGCTAAGGAGGGAGACAACCCATGTCCATCTCAGTCTTCTCCTGTAACCCCACCAGAGGAACTGTAAGGTCGAACAGCATTTCCCATGGGCATAAAGTTCAAGATGCCTTAATAGTTCCTTCGTGACTGAACTATAGACACAGGACTACCATCAAAAGAATGTGAAAAGGGGGAGTCCGGCACGGCGCGCAAAGCAAAGGCAACAGAATAAACAAAAACAGCACCCATCAGAGTTAGCCACAGCAGAGAGGGAGCCAGGGTTCCTCAAGACCAGACCAGGCTGCTCTGATTTCATCCCAACCTCCATCTACGGCTAAACTGCACAGGGAGGAGGCTCCAACCAGTCCCTCCCTCAGTCTGACCGAGGAGCAGACCGGGGATAGCCAGGTATGGAGGCGAGCTGAAAACAGACCACAGGCATTCCCCCACCCCCAAATCCCAACCCCTTGGGACTAGCTTCTGTCCCGGTGGAGATAAAAAGCAGCAAACGCCCGAACCCTCCACCCTCAACTCACGCCCCCTGTTTCTGTCTCCGTGCATGAACCAAGCCAGGGATCTTTTTGAGCCTCGCAGGGACGATGCCAGCGATCCCTTCGAGCCTCGCCCCGAGCAGCCCGACCCCGGCCGGCAGGCGCCCATCTCCGGCCGGACCTCAGGCTAAGCCCGTACCTTCCGCAGCACTTTCCGGCAGTTGGTACAGAGCAGGTAGTTGGCGGCGGCCGACGGACTGCTGCCGCCTCGGTTCATGGTGGCTGCGGGCGCCGAGGGTGAAGGCTAGGGCGGGCGGCGGGTCGGGCCGGGCTGTCACTGCCGCCAGTCGCGCAGATGCAGGGCCGGACCGTCCCCCGGCCGAGCTTCAGCCTCAGCTTCCTCCGGGCGGGATGTCGAGATGGAAGGCAGCGGCCCGAAAGCCAAGCCGGGGTGCGCGAGGCGACCACCGGCGACGGCTGTCGGAGCGACGGCGGAGACGGCGGCGGCTGCTCCTCACCGGCCCGTTGTTCCTCCCGCCCCCATCCTCAGACCCCCGCCCCCGCCAGCCTAGGACGAGCAGCCGCCACCACAGCCGCCGCCGCCGCCGCAGCGCCTCAGTGCGGGCCCCGCCCCCGCCGTCCCACCACCTTCACCACCTCCACACTCCGGTACCGCCCCCTCCCGCTAATCGGACAGCTCTAGTCACGCCCCCGGAGCGCTTGGCCGCAGCCAATGAGCTTCTAGGGCTCGGCTGAGAGCCTCACCGGCCAATCGCAGAGGCCGAAAATGCCTTGAATCTCCGGGCAAGTTAAGTTTATCTCCGAGGCTCAGAACCGAAGGGAGATGGCGGGTTAGGTAGTGGGGTGGGAGGGAATACAATGTGCACGGCTCCGCCAATAAGAAAAAGAGGGTGTGTTATATGCAAATAACACTGGCAGATCAGCTCCACCCCCTAGTCAAGCCACGCCCCTCTCCTAGGTCCCTACAGAAATGGTGAGGAAAGTGAGATAAATAGCTGGAAGCTAGAGCTCGCTAGAGGGTCTACGATTGAGCTAAACATTTTCTGATTTCTGGAGAAAGGGGTGGTGTGGGGGTGAGAGAAGGGTAGATATTAAAACGTTCCTTCCTTCGGGGCAGTGGTGGGCTTTCCCTCAGCCAAAAATCTAAGCTTAGCTCTAAAGGAGGCTGCAGTCTTGATGCACTTTGCATCCAGAGATCTCAAAGAACTTTATGCGTCATTTATTGTGAGACTTGTGTAAAAGACTAATTAGTTACCTGAGGCTTGAGAATGGGATGGGGGTAGATGTCTGAGGCATATTTATACAATAATCCAGTTGGTGGGGGAGGGGGGAGACATCTCTGGTTTAGCAGTTTCCGCTTCTTCTCTGAAGCACCTTCTCACAGTACTCTTAGCAGTGAAAACACGAAATGGCCAAAGAGAGGTTTTGCTTCTTACTCCAAAGTCCATTCTTAAGCAGCTGGTCAGATACATGCAGAGCACAGAGCCCTGCTTGGGAAGGTAGCTTCGGAGAACAAATTGCCACCTAAAACGATTGGGCAGGACCAGCTTCTCCCAAAGCTAAAAATGGTGAGTCAGGGGTTTTACGTCCACTCTGAGGCAAGAAGGCAGATGTAACAGCTGAAAGCTCTGGCTGACAAGGTGCGGAGGGACAAACAAATGCGGGTGCCAGGTATACCGAGGGGGCCAGCAACGCGCGTGCAGGCAGAATGCGTATTGCGGATGATAGACGCCTGAAACCTGCTCCCCAGTGAGAACAAAGGCAGGAGCTGAGCAAGAACCTGATTGGTGCCGGGTGCTCACCGGTGACCGCCGGGCCCCGGAGATAACTCGGATTGCGGCTGGCGCAGAGCTCGTTGCTCTTTGGAGCCGCAGCTCCCCACGCGGCCTTGGCAGTGATCACACAGGAGTGTGCGTTATGACATCACCTGTTTTCGCTTTTTAGAACCTGATCAGTATTCTTGGCTTCTCCTCTTTTAAAGGTCTCTAGTGTACCAGGATTTGTGCAGGCCTGCAGTTCGTAGAATGAATCTGTTGGAGATTATTTAAAAGAACCGTTCCACTGGTTTGCATTTCTTTTTATTTTTAATTTTAAAAAACTATCGTGGCTTCCTTAGGGATTCGGTGTGTTGTGATGCAAAATCAGGAAGGTACACTTGGAGGAGCTAGCAAGTTTAGCATATCAAAGCTATTAGACCAAATTGCGTGTTTATAACTGCCAATCCCCTCATTTCTCAACAGCTGTCTCCACTCTCCCTTTTAGAGACTAACACGTTAAACCAAGTCTACACAAGGAACAAAGGAAATGAAAATCTGCTGGTGTCAGGTTTATATAGATTAAATTAGACTGGAAAATCCCCAAACGGTCTAAGTTTTGTGGTTGGGTAAATGTCTCGATCCATTTAGTTAGTGATTGCTGAAAGTTGCTTGATGATTGTGTAGACCTACATAACCTAGAATAGCAATGGTGTGGGAAAGGTGCTTAACATTCAGTTAGAAGAAGAAACTGTAAAAGCAAGAAAATTTATCGGAGGGAGAAATTACCACATGCCCTTCAGTGCAGAGAACCAAGAAATCCAGGCAAAAAGTCAGCAAGGCACAGTTTTTCCAAGAACTAAAACACATATGTGTCCTCATTTAGTGGTAAATTTCTTGGGCTATATTCCTGGCTTGTTCTGTCTTTTAAAGCATATTTTATATGAGTACATTTTAGAAGGAAGGAGAGTTGATGGATGAAGTGAATTTTTGTACACAGTTTGAATTTTCTCAAATAGTGTTTTAACTTCAAATTATTTTCTAATATGTTCTTTTTATAAGTTTTTTTCGCCTAACAGCTCAAACCCTTTGCAAAGAGGTCTTTTAAGTTCTACAATAACTAAATTCCCAATAAATGATAGGCAAGAGGGCCAGTCCTGCACAATTATGCCCTCTAACAAAGATGACCAAAAGGGAAGTTTTAGGGCCTGAATATCTTCAGTGATACCTGGTCAGATACCTGAGGGGTTCTGTCCACTACAACGCTCCTCCAAACTTTAATAACATCTTTTTAGTGCTCTTCATTTGGCTATTAATCAGGTAGTGCATCAGGACAGTTCTTAATTTCCATCCTTTCAATTCTCAATGCTGGTAACTCATTCTCAGTACACAGCAGCTACCCTTTCTGGTCTTCACACCCTCAATTCTCACTGCCATCATATTTGTTCCCTCTCCTGGGAGAATCCAGCGTCTGGACACTTCCTCACCTGGTCTTCTTTCAGGTCCTGGCCAGCATGGATAAAATCATGAGAATGTGACTTAGTAAATGATTTGCCCCAAGTCAAGATCATTGATAAGAGGAAAAGAATTGAAAGTAAATTCCTTTGATTTCACACAAAACAAAGAGAAATTCCTCCCATTTCATTTTCTGGTATGTCTAAAATAAGGAAGAACTTTAGAAAAATAGGATATGGGTGAAAATTATAAACAAGGTTGAGAGCTTTTTGTTTTTATTACAATTAGGATGACACTTCATGAAACATTTTACATCATTTTGAAATCTATTTCATATTCATTTTTGCTTGCTTTGAAATATTATTTCAAACTGTGATTTTTTTTTTTAATGAGGAATACATAAAATCGCTTGATGATTGTATAGACCTATGGCTTGGACATACCATAAAGTTTGTTTAACCATTACTCATTGATGAACATGGGGATTTTTTCTGACTATAATAATGCTGTGATACACTTCCTCATATATAAATTTCTGGCAGCATCTCTGATTCCTAGACTTGCAATTTCTGAGTAAAAAGGTATGAATATATTTTAAGGCTCTTGGGTGACTTGCTAAAAATATTTTGTGAAATGGTTTGAAAAAGAACATAGGAAAAAGCAATCATTTGAAAGCACAAATTTTATCTGTCATTCTCCTGCATAAGGTCATTAATATTCCACCTACCTCTGCCTCTAATGCCTTTCCCCTCCTTCTGCTTGGTAATTGATTTTCTTTTGCTGTTCAATGATTTCATGATAGAGTCAAGCATCAGTCCAAGTATCCATGGAGAGCCATGCTTCTTCTTTACCAACAAACTCACTACCCAAAGGATTGGTGTAAACTGTTTTCTCTTTAGGCTTTGAACCCCTGGAGGGCAAGGAAGGAGTTACATTTAGTTTGTATGCTTGGCTTCTAGCTCAGCCTGCAGCTAAGTCCTTAAAAATGGATAAAATCATGAATTAGCGCTCTTACTTTTCTAAATAAACCATACATTCTTTCAGGGTCTCTCTAATAACAGATATTGAATCTTATAAAATGATTCTGATAAACATTTATGAATAGAATTGTTTATAAAAACTACTTCTGTGAAGCAGAAAGATTGAGTTAATGTCTTTGTCACTGATGCTCTTTGTTACATTAAATATTGGTGATTATGGCTTGTGGCTTACTATCTCTTTTTTAAAATGAAGTTCTTAGTACAAATTAGGGATATAGGGAGGACTGAGGGAAAATTTTTATGTTCAGCTCTTTTGAAAGAAGATATCCAGTCAATCATATACTGTGACTAAGGATTTGAATTGTTTACTTTCTAGACACTCTCATTCTATTGACCTAAAAACTGGGACCCCCCCTATATTTCCTAAGAATTTAATGGAGAAAATCAATTACTAAAGATACTTTTAAAATTTCATTTCTTGGGACAATAGGTTATTTTCCTAGCATTTTGCTTTTTCAAATTTGTTTTTCTTTTTCTGGGGAAACCCAATACATTCAGGAAAAAGTGCTATATTGTTTACAAATTTGCAAATACTGTAATTTATTTCTTGCCCAAAGGAATTTGCACTTCACACATTTGTAAATTGATTCCTACCTTAGAGCTGTTAATTAGGTTCTTGCTATTTTTCCTTATGGCCCAAGACCAATACTACTCCAAAGGGGGAAAGAAGAGGATCAGCTCCAAAAAGGCCACTGGTTTATTTAGTTCCCATTCCCATTCCACCCCTCAATCATCCACCTCCACCACATAAATTATTCTAACCAAAGTACATTTTTCAAAAAACAAATATTTCACTAAGATCCAAATTCTTTTCAGCCTTTTTAACCTGCCATCTCAGATTTTTCTGACTTCACCCATTATAAGACAGGCTACAAATAAAAGTCCTACAGATGTGAAGTTTGTTTGTTTGTTTGTTTGTTTGGCCTGCAGTGTCAGCTGGTTTAGTGCTTTTTAAAAATGAACTGCTTTAATATGGAGATTCCTTGGAAATCTGGGAATGGAACCACCATTTGACCCAAGCTATCCCTCTCCTCAGTCTATACCCAAAGGACTTAAAAACAGCATACTACAGGGACACAGCCACATCAATGTTTATAGCAGCACAATTCACAATAGCTAAACTGTGGAGCCAACCTAGATGCCCTTCAGTGGATGAATGAATAAAAAAAAAAAATGTGGCATGTATACACAATGGAATTTTACTCAGCAATAAAAGAGAATAAAATTATGGCATTTGCA